AAAAAGGTCATCTCCTTATTTTTATTTGGTATCTCATTGAATTAACTGAAAAGATAATCTCCTTATTAATGTAAGGTAATCTTCTTGAATATATTAAAACTCGTGTTTGATTATAAACAAATATTCTTTAGTTGTAAAATACGACTGCAAATAAAAACACATTCATTCCTTATATGTAAGTATTCAACTTTTACATACATACATATATATTATATACATATAAGTACAAAGGCAGTGTTAAAAAATAAACTTAAATAAATGTATTAGAATTATTTTTATACATTCAAATTTACATATTAAATTTTACTCAGAATTAAAAAAAAATTAAATTACCAATACTTTTATTTCCTTAAAACTTTGAGACCATTATTAAGCCAATAAAAGTGAACAGGTGGGCCATCTAATGTTTTGAAATTTATAATATCATATATTTCTGAGACAGATCCTATAAGATATGATTGAAACCTTTCTGAAAAACTTATATGTTTCCATTTTTTTCCATCAATTTCTACATTACTATCTTTAATTATAAAACTGACTACTTCATATATATTTACATCTTCATTCATTGTTAAAGTTACTACGTGACCAATTTTAAATCTAACGCCTCGAAAAACAATTTCATTTGTTTTCTTGTACAAGCTGAGGTCTAAACTTGTTGATGATAAATGTTCTTTAATTTCCAAGCTAATTTCTTCAGTGTTTGTGAAACTGTATTCTGGCTGAAAAAAATTATTTGCTAAAACACAGTGAGAGAATCGTAAAGAAGATTTCATTGCTAATGTCAACGGTACATTCGTTCTGGAGGTAATGCTCTGCGCATATTGCTTGTGCAACTGATGTTCAGCTTCGAACCGAAATGTCCATAAAAATTTTAGTGGACCCAATTTCTTAATTATAGTAGGATAATGTACGAGGTTGTGGAATTTTGGTTTTAAATGCTCTTTAAATAATTTTTGGTAAGTACTATTATGTTCTTCAATTAAAACTTGGAGATCGTTTAAAATTATATCAGTATAATTGGATAGCAAGAGTAAATCAATCATTTTAACAAATAAAATAAGGAATTTGTATACCAAATCTTCTGGATCTATTAGATCTCCTATCATGAGCAATATTAAGTGAGAAAATGTTTTCATTTGTCTTGCGTTCATTTTAAATGAACTGTTTAGTAAATGGTGTTTTTGTATAGGCGGACTTATATTGCCAATTTCTGTGTCACCATACTGAAACATTTGCTTTCTATAATTAAAAGTCTCTAAACAAAAATTTTTTCTTTCGTATATGAAATAATACAAGATCTTTGAAAAGTTGTATTTGCAAACACCCAGGAATAAATCATGCATTATATCACATGCAATGTTATCAGTTACATGAAAGTTTGGAAGTGAATTGAATATGGAAACATTTTTAATGCCAGTAACAACTGGATTGTTAATTAAAACATCGCTGCTATAGCTATGTTTATTTCGGAATGAACTTGGGACTTCAATGCAATCTGTACGAGTTTGATGCTTTTGCCTTCTGCATATTCTGCACCAAGAGTTCGCTGAAAACGAACTGACATAACCACATGCAGAATTTAGCCCAAGATTATCGCCCAAAATTTGTGCTAACTTAAAATGTATTATATAGCTCTTGCCGTCAGCGTTGATTTGTAGGCCATTAGTTTCCAAGTTTTTTAAAATATTCAAAAGTGGTGTAAAACAAACAGTAAACCCACAATCTTGAAGATCTCGAGCTTTAACAAACCCAGCTAAAAATATATTTGATAATTTACTGAGCTGAAACTGCGGCAAGCTTGGAAAGCTGTAATATATTCCACAAATTTTTTGTTGCCCAGATTTACTTCCTAAGGGATCATTAATCTCGAAATCATCCAAGTATGAAAAAAATGGTATTGTAATGCCGGTTGCATCACTGTTTGAATTTTTCCACAAATTACTATTGACCAAGTGAGAATAAGTACGAGATTCAGTAAAGTAATCCATATTTGAAAGGGTGGCTTTTAAAATCCCTTCACTTTCAAAAAATTTTTTTATTTGAAAAGGAATGTCTGAAAGTGTAATCTCGGTTTTTGCTGATGTTAAAGTAGGATTGTTATTAAGTACAACTTCTGAAAGTTCATCGCTAATAATATACTTTTGCGGAGGTTTATACAGACCTTGTTTTTCTATTTCTTTGAAAAATTTGTATTCCGTACTTAAATCGAAAAATGGTTGAGAAATATTTTGAATTACTTCCTCCAAAAAAAAGTTATTTTGATTAATATTACTAAATGATGTTAATATTTTACAAATTGGGGTTGTAATATACTCTGCTACGGAATTTTGAATTTCAGAAACGTCCTTACGGGAAAGGTTGGTATTAGAGTGCTGTTGAAGTAAAAATGAGACCGTTGATTCTTTTAAAAATGTACCATTTTGCATCGGCATAATTTGATTTGCCGAAGATCCAATTTCTGGGGTATTATGAATAGTTGGGTTATCGTTACAAGACTGGCGATGATCAATTTCTACTTTTAAATGTTTTTTGAGATGAACTTTAAATCTATGAATGTTGTAAAAAATTTGTTTGCAATTGTATTCGTAACATTGAAATTTATAAACTGTGGGAGTACCATGTACTGATTTTAAATGATTAATGAGCTCTAAAGGATTTAAGTGAGTTCTCCTACAAATAAAGCAAGCAAAACTGGCCATTTAAAAAAAAACATCAGACGAAGTTAATTCAATTTACTCAAAAGATTTGCCACTGAAGAAAATTCTTCAGATTTTAACTCAAAAAAATACTGCTCTAAGAATGCCCATACTTTCTTGCTTCTTTGGGAATATTCCATTTTATAAACATACGAAAGCTTAATGATGACGTCAACACACTTCATATATGAAGTACATTTCCATTGCAGGCCATCGCAAAAAACGTAAAACTCTGAAATTGACGAAAAATCCGATCCAACTACGATAATTCGTGGCTGCAGTTTTTCTTTCCTTATTAAAAATTGGTTTTTTATTTCGATAAGTGTAGGTTGAATATCATTGCGAGTTGCCACGAGTGTTACGAAGTCTGTTTGACCATCAGCTATTATTGGTTTGTTGTCCTTATTAAGACGCGAAGGCTTTAGTAAAGCGTGCAGCAGAATTGTACATATACAATATTTACAGTCTGTTAAAAAAAGCCATAAATAAATAACTTAACATTATATTTTTTTAAAGTGAAATAATATAAGGTATTTCAGATAGCAATGATGTTCACTTTTTGAAGATGTGCGTTTTTCCATTTTATATTCTAATACGTTCTGGGCTACTTTTTATTGAAACACAACTAAGGATTGGTAATAAAAAAATTGAAAACAGTTAAATGAAAAACAAGTCTGCTTGCATCGGCTAGTGTACATGTATAACAAATAGCGAATTTCTAGCCGTATATGAAAGTGCCTGGTTTACCTTATATTATTTCATAATGTGTTTTGATAAACAGCTTTACCTTTCGAAATGTTGTCGATATGCAAATACTTTAAAAAGA